TGCACATATATATATATATATATATATATATCTGTAATCTTATGACTTGTAGAATTTGTGACATGGAACTCACATCAATGAATGCGACAACATGAAACTTCTAAAAAAGAGTTACACAAGCCTACGTATATATTAAAAATTTTTTTTTTGTTAAACTTCTTTTAATGTTTATTATTATCTTTTTTCTTCGACTAAAAAAACTTAAAGGAATTTCACAATTTTTGTAATTACCTCGTCATATTTGAAACAAAATAAGCCTTTCTTTGCCAGTAGACTTTTAACAGTAATTTTTTTTCCATCGATTGTAATCTTTTTTTCCTTTCACTAACACATGCCTCTCACGGATTCAGCAAAGCAATCAAGTGTCTCAACCAACACACAATTCCTTTTTCAACTAATAAAAATTGATGGATCGTCCATTCAACTGTATTAGCTATCAAGTTTTCATTCTAAAACCGGATTTTTATTTATTTGCTTTTTTTTCTTCACATTTTTTGAAATGTAATTTAAATTCCGGATGAAATCGTCCAAAAGCTCTTTTGGAATCGGTTGGGGTGCACGCAAGATGAGATTTAATGCAAAGGAAGGGATCGAATTTTTTTCTTCCTTTTCATAAGCAAGAAAAATGGAAGGAGGTAAGGGTCTAGAAAACTCAATTTAACTTCTTGATATGAAGCATACTTTCGGTTGTTTTATTAAGCGGCCCTCCAGGAATTTTTTACGTTCACTTTTCTTTTGTAAGAAAACTTTTTGATGCTGTTTTCTGTAACCTTTTCCTTTTTGATTATTCATTTTTTTGATGAAATGTTTCTTAAGAACTTTGAATGTCATGTGATATATCCGCTCCATTACCATAATATCTGCATTATTTGCTTCTTGTTGTGGCAACGATCCAAAAAAATTGGTAATCGTTGTCATTTTTCATTTACGCAGCAATGGTAAGACGAATGAGAATAACAACATACTTTCAAAGGAAAAAAAGATTATTCTCTAGCACGATGTCAACTATAATATAGCTTATGAGAATTAAGAAAAATAACTTCTAGTTTATTTAATGTGTTCTAGAAAAAGACGCATGAACAGAAAATTTATAACTATTTTATTACTTTGGGGAGTTTTTCTTAAAAAAGTACTCTTCTCTTCTCTATGTATATGAAAGCAAAATTCTGTATGGATGTGTATTCCCTAATAATTCAAGAATGGGAACACCGATCTGGAACGTGTTTTTTTCAGTAGTTTGCAAATTTTCAAGGAATGGTTTGTAAACAATAACCTTTTTTCGGTGTTACATGGTTAGAACACAGTAAGTATGAATTTTCAGAGAAGAAAACCTTTAATTTAGATTGAAACATGCACTGCTATGGAAGCTGCATCTTTATGAAACTTTAAAAAAAATAGAAGCAGACTAAGCGGCTAGAAAATATTAAATATCCTTAAAGCTCGCTAAATTCATAGTTTAAGTGTAGAAATATAGCATGATAGAAACAAATATGCAACCTAACATAAATATTCGTTTAACGTTCATTTCAATTTCAAGGTTTTTAAATTTATTATATTCTAATACAGGATTGCTAGATATAGAGAAAACTCGCTTTTTCTTGTTCCCATTTGGCCTCTTCGTAATTATTCATTACTGTTTGTCCTAGTTGTAATCCATACGTTAGGGTTAGCATAGTGTTCTAGTAGCGAGATTTTGATCATTTTTCAAATTATCATTTAGGTTTAAATTTCGAAGTTGGTATAGTGTTGACAACGTAAGTAGTGTTTTATTCTTTTCTTTTACAGAGGACGATTCTTATGTCTTGTAATGACAGGTCTTCAAATGAGAATTCCTAAGACGATTCTTTTTTTTTTTTTTTTTTTTGAGCGCAAATAATAAATCAGGTGACAAATACACGTATGCAAGAAATACTACTCAAGAGAGTTTTAGAACACCAATGATGACGTTGTGAGCCTAGCCAGTGTCACCCGAATCCAGTTCTGGCAATTACTACTACGTGCATTATTTGTGATGCCCGAACTGACTTGGGGCAGGAGAAAAATTAACGTTTCTATTATGTGAAGCCCGAGCTGAGTTCTTTTCTACTTTAGAATACTTAATTCATTATTTTCCTAATAGATGGCATTAGTGGTCCTAGTTTTTCACCGATTATGACTTCAGTCGAGGGGGGAAAATGTGGATGGGGGTTTGGGGATATACCATACTGTCAAAGATTTGTAAAATTTAAGTATTGAAAATCATATTGTTGTGTTTTTATATTATAATATTATACTAGTAATATTATATTTAGCTTCCAAATTTTGTTTCATTTGCTCTGATTGAATAAGATGTGCGCGCGTGTGCAATCCGTTACTTTCTTACGTGCATGTAAAAATTATAAATACAGTAATTATTGCATTTAAATTTTTATTTTTGAAATAAAAAACCATTTTCTAACTTTTATAACAAAATGAAACAGTCAAAAAAGTTTTCCATTTTTGGTCAATTTTTCTGAAATATTAAGGGGTTAAAACTCGCCGGAAACAGTAATCCGGAAGTATAGGCAATAAAGAGCTTGCAGTGCACCCTAGTGTAGGAAACACCATCCATACAAGATGAGAGATTTGCAGGCTTCTTTCGTGTTTTTTTTTAAAATTTTCTTTAACGATGTTTGTGAGATTGCTGTCCCGAATTCTGGAATAGTTTTAAAGAAATCTCTTGTCAGATGATCACGTATTGTGAATTCATTCTTGTCTTTGAAGAATAACTACGAATTTGTGATTTGAGCATCACATAGCCCATAGTTGATAGAATTACTTCAGTTTCTATACAAGAAGCATACCTTTAAATATCACAAGGAATAGAAAATTACAGGCCACCACTACCAGATTCATAAGTGGACATACTCCTGCACTTTTATGCGTGCAAGGAAAAAAGGGGTTTCCTGTGTGCCTCAAGTCACGCCAATCTACTCCAGACCTTGTTTAGAGCTGGAGAAGAGTGATCTCTTTGAAAATCCTTTGCTGGTTCATGACTTTCAGCGGGTGAACGGTCTTCTGGGTTTGATCTAGCTAAGGGCTGAATCATGTGGTAAAAGGAACAACAACAACTTTATTTTGAAACATGTTGGGGGCTAATGCGTCTTACAGTGAAACCTCACTTGAGCGACCACTCTTCGTTCCGCAGTAAAATGGTCGTGGATGGAGGGGGGGGGGGTCCTTTAAAATTGTTATTAAAGGTACATGATTTTTCGCAAATGAATTTATTTTCAGTCAGTGTTATTTTCTTGGATCTTAAATGTCGCGTTGACCTCATGAAAAGACGGATCGATGATTAAAATATAGAGTGTACAAAAATGATCCCAACTTATATAATTGTATGTAAAAACAAATTTACCCATTATGAATGATAAATCTATTTTAAATAAATAAACAATTATGTTTTTCGTTAAAGTTTGCATTTAATTTTATATCATAAAAATTAATTAGCTTTAAAAGAGGAAAGGGGTTTGCTTGTTTGAGATGATCGTGTTTTTCAAAAAGAATTTTTTTTTTTCGAATTTAATTTTCAACTCTAAAAGTAAATTGTTGATAGTATATCGTCTTTAGTGATATTTTTTCGTGTTTCCTTATTTGGCCTTTTCCGCATTTGGTGCACATGTTTTCCTGGTCGCTGGGAGAGATTTTAATGGTCTCCCGTAAAGGTTTTCTTCAACACAAAGTCTACGGAAAAAATCCGTGCCTCCCGATAGTGGTCTTAAATAGAGGTGGTCTTTTCTAGAGGTTTCATTGTATTTTCATTCGAGTATTCGAACATACATATTTTCGTATGATTCGCGCTCCTGCGAAATCATAATCTGCAATACAATATTATATTATACTGTTATTTTGTCATTACAATAATGAAAAAGAGTGAAAAAATATTATTTTACCTCTAAAAACTCTTACACATTGTATTTTCAGCAACATTCATCAATTAAAATAATATTCATTTGGGAATGACATACATTTTTAAGCGGGTCAAATTGACCCTAAATGATGGTTTTTGGTTGGGTCTCTTGATTTTTCGAATCAAGTTTCATTTTTGAGACATTTCTGTCTACTATTATCTAAGAATGAATATCGTCAAAATTAAAACTTACCCACTATGGTGGCAAAAATAAACACTCCTATCAAGTAGCTGATGATAGTAAATAAATATCTGAAAAAGAAAAAAAAATCCTGAATAAAAATATATATTAACGCTTTTGAAATGTGTATAAATATTCTGCAACAAGACATTTTGATAACTCATAATCAAAAGTGTTATGTTCACTCATATGCAAAAGTTATGGAACCAACGCATTTCTTTGCGGGCAAATCAAGAAGCATTAATATAAACCAGGTGAAAATTTATATACGCCCGGTGGCTGAGCGGTAGCTCTTCGAGCTGCCGTGCCACAGGTCCCTGGTTCGATCCTCGGGTCGGGCAGGGTTGACTCAGCCTTTAAAAGGGTTGGGCAGGGTTGACTCAGCCTTTCAAAGGGTTGGGCAGGGTTGACTCAGCTGTCGCGCCGCTGAGTTCAGTTTAGAAATTTGATATGAAAATCAATCAGAGTACGACAGGACTGTCTTAATAGCATGCTGGACAGGACCCCCGGGCACAAAAATGTTTAACACCCCTATAACAAGCCATACTGTTTAAAAACGAACTAAAAGAATTCACATACTTAAAATAAATCATTTTTAAGATGTGAAATAATTTTTGCAAATTTAAACACATTTTTATTACCCCAAAAACTCAAATAAAGCTTCTTTAAACTACGCATAATTTAAAAAATAAATGAGATGCTAATCAGTTGCAAACCTCGAATAATAAAATAATTTTCAAAACCATGGAAATTAATCTAAAAATTGAATTAAATTAACATAAAGGCACAACAACAACAAAAAAATAAAAATAAATAAGGTATGAATTATTTTGTAAAACTAAACATTTATCAAAATCTTTTAATGCCCACCTGAAATTTTCATTCGAACGTAGAAAAATAGATTTCGGTTGCCTTTTTAAGTTTTCGTGGTGATTATTCAAATTATTGGTGTTTGCATTAATCAATCATTATTTGTAGGGAAAAAAATAACAGCATGCACACTTTACACGATGGAATATATTTATTTTAAAAAATATATTAGGCAATGTTGTTTATTCTTAGCTTTTTTTCAATGCAATTCATAAAAAGTAGAATTTTCTAGGGTCCCCTGAGGGCTTGGAACCCCTGGGCACCACCCGGGTGTGCCCTTGTGTATTAAACTAAAAGGTATAACTAAATGACTATAAATAACTAAAAGGTAATGAATGCATATTAACTCAGAATCATGAGTTACTCGTGATCAGAGCGAGATAGACAAAATATGACGCATCGAAAAGACCCTAGTAGTGGGTTTAATATGGCGCATGACTGCCGTTGTGGGACAGTAAATTTAATATCTTGAGACAATAAATTTTAGGTAGTTCTCCAGTAAGGCAATTGGGTACTTTCACTTCAAGAAGCAGACTTCCCATACCCACACATGTAACCTATGCGCCAGCTAACCTTTATTTGCAAAATGGCTTATTAAAGCTCTACATAAATTCGAATGTCATTTAACGATAAGTTAGAGTCGTATTTCGCCTCGAATGAGTTGAAATATAACTCCTTCACGCCTACTTTACTTAACTTAAATTTATTATTTGTTTACATATTTTATTGTAACAGTGATATATTTTTGTTTTGTGTACCAAACAACTTCGATGGATAATTAGTTTGTTTGTGTTCTATATGGCTATGTGCTCGTATTTGTGTGAAGTCTCTGTGTAAATATATAGTGAAAGAATAGAATTCTTTGAAAAAGAATCTCTGTGAAAGAATTTAGAATGTCTCACTTAAGAGAATCGATACTTGAAGGGCTTGGCTTACTCGAAATAGAATGGGAAAAACAGTTGTTAACGAAAACAAATGTCACGTTTCAACAACCCATCAGGATCGAGATACCCACACTACTTCACTTTCAGGTATCCCATTGCTGGTCCTGTGACAGATTGAGAAGAACTGAAGAGATCTAAAAAGACAGACTGAAAAGAGAATGCCTAGCTGCAGTTGCTCAACCAAAAAGCATTCCGGGCGTGCTCCATGGGCTTCAGGTCTGGAGATAAAGCTGGCTACCCTATCTTCTGAATGTCTTCCTCCACAAGACCTGTCCTGATTGAGCGTCCAAAATATTATTCTTATAGGATAAAATGAGTATAATAAACAGAATATAAAGACATAATTACAGGAGATTCGTATTAATGATGAAATAATTTATTTAAAACCAAGAAAATTCAATGTTTCAAATCGTACTTAGACTGTCTGATCATTCAATTGCATAGATCTTTACAAATCTGATCTGATAATTTATTTTTAATCGAAAATACATTTCGTTCCTTAAATTATTCCTCTTTTCAAAATCGAAACAATTTATTTCTTTATTTTGGTGCAAGAACGAACATGGATAATGTTACCAGAATCTTAAAGATGCAATGTGTCCCCCTAAAAAAAAAATCCTAATGCTGAAAAAGTTGTGAAAGTTGTACCATTAAAATGTCGTTAACACCCCCACCTGGTTCGGCATTTTAACAATTTATTTTCCTTCTGTGGGACATTGGAAACATAATTTAAATACATCAACGTGACAAGTTTTAATTTTGGAAAGCAAGATGTTAGTTTTTATACTTCTTTAAACAGAAAAAAAAAAGCTTTCGTCCGTAAACTTACAATCGCGTACTGTAATTGTGCAACTAAGCAAAAGTTCAGATTTTTTTCAGAACAGAATGTTTCCTTTTATGTTTTGGAGAAACGTAATTTAATTCTTCTCCGCCATTCTAAAATCATGGCAATATTTAAAAGTGGAACTTAGTAAAATTAATTTTTTTTCAAGGCGAATAAAATTTTTTTCTTTCCTCTAACGAAACCGCATTTTTCTAAATGTAAAATTTTTAATGAACAAGAAAATCGGAAGGTAGAAGGAAATGTTTTTATTCTCATTTAAATATTTTTTCCCACTTCATTCTTAAGTAAGCTAATTAAAAAAACCAGTTAATATTTTTTTCTGTATTAAAAATTTTATTCTTTTACAAAGACAGAAATCACTGTTCTTTGTAATGTGTAGAAACAGATATTGATTTTGTCAGAAATCTTGTGCGGTATGAAATTTTTTAATGAGTAGTAAGAGCAAAATTGAATAAAGTGTGTACTTTACAGCCTTCTTGTCGGAATTAATTTGGTGTTGAACTCATAGAATCCTGTAAGAAAAGATATAAACTGTCTCCAATTGAGTTACAAAGAAGTAACAAGTTTCTTTGTTAATGTTTTTACTTAAGAATTAAAAAAAGCAAAAAGATAAAATATTGTGTATTTAGATGTATTTATTTACATTATTTAAATATCGTGAGGATAGCGGGCATAATAACCAGACCAGCAAAAATGAAACGCAAATATTTTTTTAGAACATTTTATGAATCCTAAGATTAAGAAGTATTTTACCATATAGGAAAATCTAATGAGGATGTCGCAGTTTTCCATTGTTGTCAACAAATTTTTATTGGCTGGAAAATCACTTGGTAGGATCCAGTTTTCCGACATTAAATTTCAGATTAGTTTGGTTGTCATCAGTATAAAATTGATTTAAGTCATAAAGTTATTGTTTTCCTATAAATATTTTTGTTTCCCTGGTTTGAAGGTTAAAATTACCTGTATTGTTATTTTTACGTTTTGGATTTTGTTTGATTCCTAAATGAAGAGTAATGGAAGGATTGCTCGTATTATTATTATAATTAGAATAATGTAATTCTATGTCACATTTTAAGATAAAGTTATTTAAATAGGTGTCAGATCTTATTAACCGTTTTGAAATTATTATTTTTTTGGTGCAAGTTGCATTAATATACTATTAACGGTTAATGAGATTCGTTAAATGATTTAGAACTTAACTTTCAGATGCATGCACAAAGTGATGAACGAAAACATTGTATTTAAAATGCATTTTTTTGCATTATTAAAATATTGTTTTTGATTCGCGATCGCAAAGCTTGAATATGCCCTCTAGCGGGTTGGATATTTTCAGTCTACTATTTATTAAGTTTTTATTTAGTTCTATCAGAATCATTGGTAGAGAAGGACGTATTTTTTTCCAGCAGCAAATAAGAAACAAAATTTCCAAAACGAAAAGGCTGAAAAACTTGAAAAAACGACCCAGAACAGTGGTAAATCATTCTGAAACAGAACGGGTCCAACATTTGAAGAACGATTTTACAATAAGTTTTTTCCTTTCAATTAGCAACAAATTTGAGATCGATACCTTATGCATGTTTAAATTATTTATATGTCGTGATTTTCAAAAATTTTTATAATCAACTTAATTAAACTGGAATAAAATGTAATGGCCTAAATTTTGTTACCTCTTTGAATATAAGGAAAAAATTTATTCGAAAATCGTGACAACTATGCAAAATCCTTTTTTATCGTTTCATTATTTGAAGTTTTAAAGCCATATTATCGTCCAAGTTAGAACTACAATAAACTACTACAAATGAACTACAAGTTGGCTGCGTCCTTAATTGAACTGCGTTAAACTGGTTTACTCGATGCTATGAATCTAATGGAAGGATTCAGTTTAATACCTTATCAATTTTGAAGCACATTTGCAAGATTGTGGAACAATATTTAAGCTATTTTTCTGAAAATGTAAGTTACTTACTAGCAATGCTAATTTTTTTAAGAGCGGAAACTCGTTGAAGAGGAACGAACTATTTTTCCTACATTTCTTCCAATATTAAACAAATAATAACTATCTTTTGAATAACAAGGTTATTAATAAAAGCAGTACTTTTTAAATGCGTAAGTTAAACACCCCATAGAAAAATAATGGAGTCTTGTAGTAAAAGTTTTTGTACTTTTGTGTTAAAAATGGACGTATAAGTGTCTTTATTTACCATAAAGTCAGTGTTTTACTTTATTTTTCCTTTCAACTTTCAATATTTAAGGAAGTCACAAAATGTCAGATAAATTGCCTCACTCAAAAACTATTGAAAGTGTTACTTTTCACCACCTGTTCTTTCCCTAAAGAATAACACCTTACAAAATACTATTCACATTTTTTTACATAAAAAAAATTCAACAAAATTTGATCCTTTTTTTTTGTATT